CAGGAGGTGATGCCTGCCGGCCTCGTGGGCCAGCGGGGGCCAAGTCCTGGCAGGAAGACAGCAGGGGGACGGGAGGATGGCATGACAGCAGGACGGGAGGATGGCAGGAGAGAGGACAGCGGGATGGGAGCACAGGAAGGGGGCGGGATGGTGCCCAGTGAAGGGGCCTCTCCTCTGGCTGGGCCGACTGGACTGTCCACTGTGCGGGGGTGCCCTGCCTCTCTGTCCAGGGCTCAGACGCCGTTCTGTCCGCCGCACCCAGAGCAGGCCTGCCTGTCCCTGGCATCATGAGCGTGGGGGCAGCTGTGTGCCCGACCCCGGGTGGACAGTGCAGCCGCGCTGAGGCCCGTCAGAGCCTGGAGCGTGGACACCGCGATGCTGGTGGCTCCTGTGTCGGCTTCGTTCCCCTGCGCGGAGACCTGGGGGGCGATTCGATGGATCTGAGACGCCAAAGAGACCCAGAGGCAGGAGGGGGTTGGGGTGGGGCCTGCTGGTGGGGGCGGGGCCTGCTGAGGGGGCGGGGCCTGCTGGTGGGGCGGGGCGGGGCCTGCCGGTGGGGCGGAGCCTGCTGACGGGCGGGGCTTGCTGGTGGGGGGAGAGTGACAGCACTGCCTCGGCAGCTGGCCTGAGTCGATTCTGGCTCCCAGATGCTCCCCTGAGCCCCTGGGACGACCTCTGAGCACTGCTGGGCGCCCCCAGGCTGCTGCTGTCTGAAACGCTCGGCCCGGGAGACAGCGGTGCTCATGGCAGTGCTCCCGCACCCTGAAACCACCTCCACCTCTGGTCCCAGGGGCAGCCGTTCACCCACATTGCCTGTCCCCAAGTGCTGGCCCTCGGGGTCCCAGGTGAGGGGGTCCCAGGTGAGGGGGTCCCAGGTGAGGGGGTCCCCCAACGTCTGCCCTGCGCCGGAGTCACTTCCCACCTGGAGACTGTCGGTACTGAACACCACCATGGCACCTCCAGGGCCGGTGCCGGGGGTGCCGGTCCCCAGAGCCTGCGCGGGGGCTGGTCGCTCCTCCTGTGCCGGGCTCCTCCTCGAAGGGGGCGGGGACAGTCCATGCCGGTCACACACTGGCCCCTCAGGATGTTCTCCAGGCCCAGATGTTCTTCCCAGAGTTTGCCGGCGGTGGGGGCACACGGGCACAGGAGCCCAGGTGCTCGTCCCTTAGGGGGGAGTTTGCTCTGCCCAGACACGCCCAGACCAGTGAGGGGAGGGCGGCGGGACCCCCAATGGACACTCAGCGTGTTGTCATCGTCACCATCTCTCATTTGGCCAGAGGGTTTTGTGGGGGTCACCGTGGTCTGGTCTGGTGTGGGCTGCCTTCTGCAGCGAGGGTCTCATGTCCTCCAGCGGCGTGGCTGTTTGCTGGTGATGGAATTGTCCTGATCAGCCGGACAGGAGAGCAGGGACCCCAACCCGGGAGAATGGACAGTCTGGGCAGTGGTTGCCGGGAACTGGACACAGACGCAGCCATGTGCTGATCTCTAGGCCAGAGTGGCTCCTGGTCTCGACCTCTGCCTGGCCCCTGGCCACAGCCCGTGCGACCGGTGCTCATTGACTGCCCTGGGGGGCTCCTTCCCATCGCCCACCCTCCCCAGCGCAACCTGGAAAATGGGCTTGTTGCTGCCTTGCCAGCTGTGGCCAACCACCCACCCTTGTCTCACTTTAACTCATGCGCCGTAGTGGGTGTCCGTCTGCAGAGAGCATGGTGCCCACAGGGTGTCTGCGTGGTGCCCGTGTCGTGCCCGCATGGTGCCCGCATGGTGTCTGCATGGTGCCTGTGTGGAGCCCACGGGTGCTTACATGATATCCGCGTGGTGCCTGTGTGGTGCCCCAGGAGGGCTGCCACCATCAGTCACATGCTGCTCCTCAGCAGAAATGAGGGGGCCTGTGTTGGAGCCGGGCGGGGCGCCGTGAAGAGGCTCCACACTCCCCGCGGGGCACCGCAAGGGGGGTCCACACTCCCCCCGCTGAGGGCAGGAGGCCTGTTCAGTGAGGCGGGGCTTCTGGCTCCGAGAGGGGCTCAGGTGAGACCTGGGGGGGCCTGTCAGGCTCCGGGAGGCTGGGGTTCCCCAGCCACGCTGTCTCGTCCCGAGCCGGCCTGAGCAGAGCCACGAGCGCCAGCTGCCCCCTGTGCCAGGGAAGCACCGAGCCCCCAGCCGCGCCCAGAACCCCTGCCACTGAGGGCGTTTGCACTCGGGCTTCCGTCCGGGCCCCTTTCCAAGCCTGTGGGAGTGCACGGGCCTTCCGTGGGTCTGCGTGGGAGGGCGTGGCCTTTTGTCGGGCAGGCCCCTGTGGGCTGGTGACTGTGGCGCAGCTCCCCCCGGTCATGCCGACTTGTTGGTCAGTGTGTTGTCGTCGTCAGCTCATGGACCTTGGGCCTGTTTTGTTAGCTTTATGCCTGCGTATTTCACTTTCCTGAGATCATAGCGATTAGAAATCCTGATCTCCAAAGTTGCTGGCTAGAATCTGGAAATTCAACTTCCTTCCTGTGTACAGCTCTTCATAGCCTGTGGAGTCACTTAATACTAGTTTCAGTAACATTTTTGGAAAGTCTTGGAGCGTCTCCTGGCCACTCTCTGCAAGCAGAACCGTGCCCCTCCCCTGCAGGGGTTGGGAGGGGACTGGCCCCCTCCCCCCACCCAGGGGCCCCATCCCATCTCCCCCGCTGCGAGTGATGCTAGTGTGGCCTTCAGCGGGGTTGCAGGCCTTTCACTGGTTCAGGACATCACCTTCTATGTATATTTTGCTCAGGTTCCTTTGCCAAAGTGGCTGTCAACGTTTGTGAAAGGTTTTCTATTATTAATATCATTTTTCTTCTTTAGTCTAACCATTCCATGAATTATGTGAACTGAGTTACAAATGTTCAGGCCGACTTTTGTTTTTAAACTAAGCCCCACATAATGTATTTATTTATTTAGGTCACACCCGGTGATGCACAGGGGTTATTTCTTGGCTCTGCACTCAGGAATTACTCTTGGCATACTCGAGGGACCATATGGGATGCTGGGAATTGAACCTGGGTCGGCCGCATGCAAGGCAAATGCCCTACCCGCTGTGCTATCGCTCCAGCCCCCTCCCCATGTAATTTAGTATACTAAAATATTAATGGATTGCTGGGTTCAACCTGTGAGGGGCTTTTTAGGGGGAGCTGGGCAAAGCCACACCTGGAGCTGCTCAGGGGTCTGCACTCAGGAATCTCTCCTGCAGTGCTCAGGGGGATGCCGGGGACCAACCCCCAGTGAGCCATGTGCCAGCAGGTGCCCCCCCGCAGGCCCATTTTTCCAGCCCTGTCCCGTGAGTGTATCACCTGCTGTTTTACGCCTGTCTTTGTGAGCACCACTGGCTCTCTCTGGTGCTACTCCATCTGCTTTTCTCAGTGTCTGAGAAAAATGGGCTGACAAAATGATTTCTGTCTGGGCCTCTTCTATCTCATGGGAAGCTCGCCGAGCGAGGGTTCTGTAGGCGCGGGACTGGTTCGGGGTTGCACTACCCTGGTGTCGGTCCGACCCATGCTTCCGTCTGCACAGAACCTCACTGGGCGGAGCTGGGCGAGGAGCCCAGTCTGCCGCACTCACTGTGAACTCTGCCAACTGCCCATGCCACTCAATGTTCATCCTGGTCAAATCTACGGACCACGAAATGCACAGCTTTGCAGTAGGGGCCGCCCCCAGGGTGCTGGGGACCCCAGAGTCAGCAACGGCGTTGTCCCCACCCCCACACAGAGCCAAATGTGAATGCTGCCTCTAGCCACACACACACACACACACACACACACACACAGCTGAGTGTCCACGGTGCCCGCTCGCCTGACCATGGTGTCCACACACCTGTGCATGGTGTCCACTCACCTGACCTTGGTGTCTCATGCATCTGACCATGTTGTGCTACACCCCTGGCTGAGGTGAGCGGAGACTGTGGGGCCGTGACGGTGCCTCCCGCCAGCAGGGCTGCCTGAGCCTGCTCGGCACAACGTGGGGCACCCAGGGTGGAACCCAAGGCCTCACGCTGGCCAGGCAGGTCCTTGTGCAACTGGACCCAGAAATTGGCATCGTTGTGGGAATCTGATGACAGTGCCTCATTTCCTGGGGTTCTGGGACCTGCAGGGCTGCCTGGTCCTGCCTGGCCTCAGGACAAGGGGGTGGGTGCACGGACAGTGGTCACAGAACCAGGCCAGTGCTCAGCCTCACGGGACAGTGGCGGGACCATGCCGTGCTCAGCCTCACTGGACGGCGACTGTGGCAGGTGCCCCGGTCCAGGTGCCTGCGGGCGGCTTGGGCGCCAGGACGATGGAGGAGCTGCGTCTTCCCTCCGGGGGGCAAGCAGAGGTGTTGTCAGAGGCTCTCGTGTCCCCACTCCCACAGAACCCAGGGGACAAGGCGGCTCCGGGTGCCCAGGGCTGCCCGTCACCCACCCGCCTGGCAGAGGTGCCAGGCCAGAGACGGGTGTCCTGGTGCCAGGACCCCAGGTCAGCGGGGAGCAATGCCCCCCGGGAGAGGCTGTCAGAGCAGCCGGGCTGGGGCAGGGGATCCGGATGCAGGGTCCTCCCAGGTGCTCCGGCTTGTGGTTCCTGTGGCCACTCCCAAGAATGAGTCTCCGCAGGTTCCTCACGGGGCTGAGTCCACGCCTTGCATGTGGACGCCAGGGCCTGCAGCACGGACGGGCGTGTGTGGCCCCAGGAACTCACTGCTCGCCCTGTTGCTCTGGTCTTCCCCGGGGTCCCACAAGTCATGAAAAAAAGACCAAAACCCAAAGACCAACCTGTGCAAAATTTCTGGAACATTCTGAAACATTCCATTACTCACATTCGCCTTCTTGGCCTCAAACACATCCTCTGCCAAGCACTGGGGTCTGCCCCCAAATCCCTTCCCCTTGGGGTTCCATGCCCTGGGCTGGGAGCCCCTCAGTGCCAGCCACGGATGGATGGGACATCTGAGCGCCCAGGGTTGTGTAAGCCGTGACCGCCCGGCCCTCGGTCTGTCCTTCGCAGAGTCTTCATCCTCAATGTCCCGCTTGATACCATCATGGAGCGGCTCACCCTGAGGAGGACTGACCCCGTCACGGGAGAAAGGTCAGTGTCCAGCTGACAAGGGCCTCAGACCCACCAGGCTGTCATTGGCGGTACAGACAGAAGGTTCTAGAAAGGGGCTTCCCCCGGCCACTGACTCCACGGACAGTCGTGAATGCTTGTCCCCTCAGTGCTTGCCTGTGGATGGTCACTGTGAGCTGCCCTCGGGGATTCTGGGCAGGCCTTCCCGCCGCTTCCCCCTCCCCGGACAGCCCTCTGGCATCAGTCACTGCTGATGGGGGACCTCTCGGGGTCTCTTGTCCGGCTCACGGTGTGGGTCGGGGTGACTGTCCGCCCCAGGTACCACCTCCTGTATAAGCCACCGCCCACCATGGAGGTCCAGGAGCGGCTCCTGCAGAGCCCACAGGATGCCGAGGAGCGGATCAAGTTCAAGCTGGACCTGTACTACAGGAACTCGGCCGAGCTGGAGGAGTTCTACCCGGGGGCCATCACCCTCAACGGCGACCAGGACCCCTACACGGTCTTCGAGTACATTGAGAGTGGTGTCATCAACCCTCTGCCCAAGAAGGCTCACTGAGGGGCTCCGGGCAGGACCCGCTCCCAGAACCCCCCCCCCCCGACGTTCTGGAACTCTGCCGAGCCAATAAAGTGTGCTGGGCAGACTCCGGGCTGTGTCTTACAAGCATCCACCCCAGAACGGCTCCCAGCCCCCCTCGGTCCCCGTCAGCCCCCCACGTGCCCACACGCCCCAGCCCATCTCCAGCCTCTCTTATGAGATCTCTCCACCAGCCACAATGCTCAGCTCCTGGCCTGTAACACCATCACTGCCCTGGACCGGGCAGCGGGTTTGGGGGCTCTGCATCCTGGCCGCTGCAGGGGGATGGGTCACACTGGCCGGTCACCCCTGTGAGCCCCCTCCCCGGGTGTGTCCATCCCAGGAGGGCATCCAGTCACCCTCCAGTGGCTTGCAGGAAGGAGGGGACACAGGCAGCTCATGTGGAGGGAGGGCCAGAGAAGCTGGCATGAGCCAGGGAGGTCATGTGTCCAGTTGGGAGAAGCGGGCAGTTCGCACTGGGGATGGGCGCCCCCTCTGGCCACCGCGATGCACGCACTGCACTCAGGCACCAGCAGAGGGCGCTCCTGGCCCCCAGCAAATGCCACAGGACGCAGACTGGGACTATGACCGCGGAGCCTCTCGGAGTTGGGAAAGAAGCCCATAGGAGCAGTGGGGCCACCTGGGGGCCTCCGAGAAGGGCACCGGGGAAGCTGCTGTGGTGTGGGAGGGAGGGTGCGGGAGTGGGGGCTGGACTCGGTGCGCATCTGTCCCAACTGGGCAGTGGACACGGAGGGCTAAGTGGGGGTGACCACCTCTGGCTGCACATGTGTCCTGGGAGTCTCCTGATCAGTCCGGCTGCTGGCACCCCCACATTCTGCTCTGGGTCTGAGGAGGAAGAGGGTCTCTGGCTGCACCCGGTGTCCAGCCGCCATCCTCCCGCCCCTGCATGCAGTCTACGTGGGTTTGGTTCTGGCACCACATACTGTCCCCTGAGCCTACTAGGAGTGAGCCCTGAGCACAGAGCCAGAGTGATCCCTGAGTATGGAGCCAGGAGTCAACCCTGAGCACAGAGCCAGGAGTCACACTGAGCACGGAGCCAGGAGTCAGTCTTGAGCACAGAGCCAGAAGTGAGCCCCAAGCACAGAACCAGGAGAGATCCCTGAGCACAGAGCCAGGAGTCAGCCCTGAGTGCCACTGGGTGAGGCATAAACCAACAAAGCTTCCCTGTGTTTATGGAGGCTCATTTGTAAGGAAAAACAGCCCTGGTTTTCCCGGCATGGGGCGCTCCAGGTCTGTTTTTTTTGGGGGGACACACCTGGCTGCATGTGAGGGCACCCCAGAAGTCTGCTGCTCTCGAGGTTTGGGCTGGGGACTGAGGCCCTGTAGAATTCTCTCCAAACCAGGCGACAGCTGCGAGTGGAAAGGGCCTGAGGAGATAAAGAAGGGAGAAGGCAGGGAGGGAAGGAGGGAAGGAGGACCGGGGTGCGGGGAGCCCGAAAGTCCTCAGGATCCAGGAAACGCCTCCCGTTGCCCTGTCCTGCTGCCCTCTGCTGATGAAGCCTGTGCTCACTGCAAAGGAGCAAGACTGAGTGCCCCTGCCCCACGCTGCCCCTGCACTGTCGCCAGCACTGCACACCCCACACTGCCCACAGCACTGCGCACCCCACTGCTCACAGCACTGCAAACCACACTGCATGCATCGCTGCGCACCCCACTGCCCACAGCACTGCCCACAGCACTGCACACACCCATTAAGGAGATGAGCAGCTGTTCTCTTTACCTCCAGCAGAAACTTTGCTAATTATGAATTCCAATAATCTATCACTGGTCCCATGGACTCCTGCGGGGTTGGGGCATACCTGGCAGTGCTTGGGGACAATGAGCCACCAGTCCCGTGATCCGGGATGAGCCCAAGGGACACTGACTCCCGACATCCTTGTACGATCTTGGGGTGCCACTGGCGGGAGCTCTTGGCCAGGGAGATGCCAATTTGCAGGCTGTGCAGCTGTCCAGTACTGGTGGCTACTCCCTGCGTCCAGCTTGTCCACAGCCGAAGACTGGGAGGATCAGGGCCCATTCGGCCATGGTCCCTCTGATGCCTCCAGTCCCTGCGAGCACTGCGTGGGAACCAGCCCAGCCCGCAGCTCTGTGGCTGTCCACAGGCCCCAGCGACCACTGTCTTACTGCCCGATTCTGCTGACCGCATGCAATATCGGGGTCCAGGATGGCATCGTCATCTTTTCTCTGCTATGGACCCCAAAATTGCCGGTCAGCAATCATGGCTGGGGGGGTTCGGTGGAACTCTGGCCCCTGGGGGTGTGGTGCCCCCAGACTCAGAACCTCTGACTCTATGAACCCCAATATTTGGTACAACAAGGGAGGGGTTTCCCGGGGCGCAGAGGGCAGCGGTGGGGCGGTGCTCTGCCTGTGGGGTTTGTGCTCGGCGCCGAGAGTGTGGGCCGCCCCCCTCCCCTCGCCGTGCAGCGCGCCAGGCAGCGCCAACGCGGCGCCCCGCGGTTGGCCGAGGACCACCATGGTCCAAAGTGACGTTCTACAGGATCCAATTTCAGGAAACAGGAAACGGGGCGGCGCTGGGCAGAGGCCCAGCTAGAGGATGCCCCTGGGCCCGGTGCCCTGCCGCTCTGAGGGGCGCGGTGCCCCCCGGCTGCTGGGCCCCGAGGCTACGGTGGCAGCTCGATCACGTGGCATGAACCCCCCGACTGTGTCGTGACGTCCCCCGGCCCTGCGCCAGGCTGGGAGCACAGAGCCGCTCGCCCCCAGGACCGGCCGGGGCCCCTCAGCCCGCTTCCGGCTGACCGAGCTCCACGCCTCTTTCCCACAATGCCGCTCCGGGCCCGGCCGCCCCGTCCCCCCCGCCCGCGGCCAGCGTCCCCCTCCTGCCCACCATGAAAATTCCGGAGGGGGGAAGGGACCTCCCACGTGTCCCTCCTCAGCTCCCAGCTACACCCACCAGGAGGCCCCCATTCTTTGAGGGTTGCAACATCTTTCGGGCATCCCCCCAAAGCCTCAGCCGCGCCCGGGAAGCTGCTTCTCTCCGGCAATTCGGAGCCTGGAGGCGGCCCGGCTGGGCCAGCCGGGAGGGAGGGTGGCGCCCGCCTCTCCCCAGCCGATACCCCATCCCCATGCTCCCCAAGGCACTCGCCCTGCTCTGCACCCCCCCTTCCCGTCTGCGCCGGGGCCACGTGTAATTGGGTCAGGGTTGTGGGGTCCCCCCAGTCCCCTCGTCTGCGCCCGGAGACGCCTGTGCTTGGTCTGGGCTGCGAGGGCCCCTCAGCCCCCCACTGGCTGAGTCTCAGCAGAGGTGACGCCCCGGTGGCACTGCAGAGGCCCGAGGTGGGGTGGAGCGGCCCCCATACTCAGTGGCCAGTGCAGGGGGCTGCCACCTCAAGGCGGGGCAGGGAGGCGGCCACAGAGGCGGCCACTTATCACCATGGGGGCAGCCCCCCATGCCGGGCACAGGAAGGCCCGCAGTGGACAGGCCACCTGTCTCTGCTGCAGTCTCAGGTCCAGCATGTGCTGACCCTGCCTGGCTCTGGCACTGGCTGCCTCAGGTGTCCCCGTGGCCTGCTGGTTATGTTAGTCCCCCTGCGCCCCTGCCCCGTGTGAGGCAGGCTCTGCCTCCTCCCTGCCCACACAGCGCCGCCCCTCCAGGAGATCCTGCCCTGTGGGAGCCAGCCACTCTGCAGCAGGGATGGGGACCTCCAGTGCTTTGGGGGTGCCACACCCATTAGCATTCTGCCCCATCTTTCCTCTGGGCTCGGCAGCCCTGCGGGAGTGGGGCACGCGGCTGGGTCTCCCGGGCACGTGGCCTGTCTGGTTTACGTCACCAGCACTTTCGTGGCACCCACCCTGCCCGGGGCGCGTGGCCCTTGCTGTCGTTTGTCTCAGAGCCACGCTGTGGCCACGTGGGGTCCGACCTTGGCCATGGCTGTTGGTGCGGACTGTGACGGGACCTCCCATGTGTCCCTCCTGGGCGAGCGAGCGCTGGACACTTGTGGCTGACGGGACTCCACGAAGTCCCTGTGACATCGAGTCCAGCAGGTTCTGTTCCCTCATGGCAGGCACCAGGGGGTCCTGGGGCTGCCTGTCTGGAAGCCTCCACACCCGTGCACTGTCCCCGCCTGACCTCTCTGCCCCTCAGATTGCAGCGGGCTGACAGGAACTGATGGCCCAGGAGGCTGCAAGGAACCCACCAGGGCCGAGACGGGCACAGCGGGCAGCGAGGCAGTGGCTTCTGGGGAGCTCCGTCGTGCTCTTGCCCTGGGGGATGCAGGTGGCCTTCTGGGGGTGGGGGGCGCAGGACTGGCCACTGGCTGGGTGGTCATTTGGGAACCCCGCTGGGCCCTGTCAGAACAGAACCGTGGGCACACGTGCCCCGGCTCCTGACTGCTCTCTGGCCCTGCTGTGCCCTCGGTACCCGTGTCCCACCGTGCCACCGCCCATGTCCCCTCATTCCTCCATGTCCCTCCCTCCGTGTCCCCTCCCCATGACCCTCCATGGTGTCCGCGGTGGCCGGCCTGGCGTCTTGTCTGCGTGCTGAGCTTCCCTGTGTGGGCTCGGCAGGTCTCCGGCGTGGGAGCGTCGCTGTCGAGCAGGATCAGACCCTGCAGAACGCGGGGTCAGGCCAGCAGTGGGGCCCAGGAGGCCACGTGCCCAGCATGTGCGAGCCCAGGTCTGGCCCTGGCAGGAAGCTGCGAGGGCGTCCAAGGCACTTCTCTCTCCTGTCACTCCCGATCCACCCAGGCGATCAAATGCGCACACGCAGGCAAACCATTGAGGGGGATTCGGAATAAAAATGCGGCCAAGAACACGCAGGTGGCTGCGCACATGGGCCATGGCACCCCCGAGGGGAACTGGCAACTGTGGCCTCCCGGGGGCCTGACTCGGCCAGCCCAGCCTCCCGCCTCTCAGGAAGCGGCTAACAGGTCAGAGCCGCGGGGGTCCCCCTTGTCTTGCGCCCCCAGCATGACAGAGCCCCTGGGCTGCCCTCCACATCCCACCAGCCGAGA